ATTCCAGTTTGTGGCACTAATACATGTCGTTCGAGATCTTTTCTGCACTTTACACGATGCGTCACGGATACCCAATCCGTCTGGCTAGCCGGCTGGACATCTTAATGATTGTTCAAAACTTTTTTTTATTGCTGACTGAGGATTTATGATTGGTTACTGCCGGCAATTCTCGTATTGCGAGGGATCTCGCACAGCAGCAAGTTTTCTTGATACATTTAGTGCTATTGGCAAGGCTGGCGTCAGTTGTGCCGTGCAAACTGTTTCCAAGCCATATAAGTCCACCGTAGACTGCGCACAGAGGGCCAAATGTGCTATAATTCAAACCGTAGTGGTTGTCTGTCTCACGTGGCGGGTTCCGCAGAGAGGCATTACAAGTTTTGACAGGACTAAACCCTGTTCACCGGCACAGTCATCCTCTGCTGCGCGGCAAATGCCCAAGTTGCACTCGGCTTGATCGATGTTGGCCAGAGTGAGCTGGATATGCGCCACAACGTCATATGAACAAGCACACGCTTTAGTTCAACACGGGTCTACGCCCAAGGCCATACTTATCTCGTATTGACGAGAGGTCCCTTGGTTTTGGTCAATTGAGCGGCGCCTGATGACTGAGAGCATGGCTTCTCTCGTGGTCCCTGATAGGGAAGCTGCTCTCTCACACCGGCCCGATGTAGAGTTGTTAGTACTAGCAAGGCATATTGTAGTAAGAGGAAGGAAAGCAAATAAAGAGGAAAGAGTGTGTCAAGTTGAAGTGACACACAAAGACGATGAAAACGTCTTGGATCCCATGTTGAACGCCTGATGTTTTGGTTGTAAAAACAGAGACTGAACAAGAACCGAAGACCCAAGCTCAGGAGTTGCACAAGTGTCGGTCGACATGTTGTATGACGACCTCAAGCAAGACAACTCCACTTTAGATCATACCTGACACGTTCGCACCCATCCAAATCCATCCTGATGCACTCCCGCGCAGGCCTGTGGCTTGGGACCCAAATGCCACAGCGAGCTGTCGTCCTCCCCAATATGTGATCCCATACCGAGATCACAGAATGTTCCAGGCATCTTCGGCAGCGTGGCAGAACTTGCTGCACGCTACACTAGCCGAGAGACTGTAGTTGCTGATGGAGATCTTCTCGTCGACAAATTCATCGGCAAAGTTATCCGTACCCTTGGCCATGGCACCAACAAAGACGCAAACGCTCTCCTTGGGTCCCACGCTCTCGACCCAGTCCCTCACGCGCACGAGAGGAGCATCGAAACTAAGTGTCACCTTGCGGCAGTTGGGCGGCAGGTGGTCGGTGATGGGGTTTTGAATAACTCTCAGAAGCTTCTCTTGCGAAGTCGTGGAGCGAATCGACAGACGGTGCAGCAGCTGCACCATGAGACCGGCAAAGCGCTTGAAGGTTCGGGGAATACGGACGGTGGGCGAAACCTCGATCAAAACTCCCTTGGCTGTGTGAATGTAGATCTGCAGCTGACCAGCCTTGTTGATGGGCGAGTCGAGCAGCGTAAGCAGGCACTAGGTTAGCTTGGTCAGCATGTTGAATGCTCGACACTTGCGGGAGGAGAAGCAGGAGAATTGTGGTCGTACCTGGTGGGTGATATCCGGGCGGGCGTCACTGATATCACGGTTCATTTTTCTCATGACACCAATGTGCTCGTCGCTGTTGAGTAGCGAGTACTTGTCGTCGCGCTGCATTCCCATGCGGCCACCGCCGCCATGCGAAGCCTTGTACGTCTCGAGGCTGGCATTAGAGAGCACAACAATGAGTCTCTGGGAGTCCTTGTCGCTCGAGGCAATGGGGAGCTTTTGCTCGGCGACGAGCTGCGGCAGGGCGGGAGGAGGAAGTGACTGCGTGCCTGTTGAAGGTTCCATAATGTCAGTTGGGATGAAGGAATATCCGGACAATAATTCGTCTCTTGGGATGCTTTAATGGTTCTGCGCAGATAATAACAAGATTCAAACAAAGATGTTTTGGGTTATGATCGCTTTGGCTACGCAATTCCCCAGTCGAGCGGAAATTTTGCTTTTTCTCGTGAGGCAGTTTGCTATGCAGGGACCCAGAAAAAAAACGAAGCCAAAAAAACCGACAGCACTGAATGGAAGCTGCAATTGGCCGGCAAAGTCGAGTCTAAGATGGGAACCCCGCCAAAGTAGCAAACAATGTCAAAGAATGCCCTCGTGACCTCTTTTGAAGTCTAGGAAGAATTGTAGAGGACAAATCTTGCTTCGGGGGGAAATGAAAGTAAATAAACTGGGCAGAGGGTTTTGGGGAAACTTAATTGGTGTCAATTGGCCTCGTAAGCTTCCAGGGCACCCCGAAGGTCTCAGTATGCCAGAGCATATTCTGCCGGCCCAGAGCTTGCCCAGAGGTTGACTCATCCAACCAACAAGATCAAGAAGTAGAGGGTATTCGCATGACGAAGAGAAGAAGAAAAAGAATGAGGCAAGTACAGATACAAGAGCCAGAGACAGACGTAGACATAGATGTCCAGAGACTCTTTCCGGCTGCTCCACCAAGCTCTTCTCTCAGGCTGGTTTTTGATAGAGATATATGCGCAACAACCCACAAGCAGACAATTACATAATGAATGCCTTGGAGGCGAATACTTACGAGGACGCTTGTTGCCAGCACGCGGTGGGGGAGAGGCCGACATGATGATGTAGAATCTGTAAAGCGTACGAGATTCGAGGTGATGGAAAAACTGCAAATGCCCGCTCAGATAAGAGTACGGACAAGGCGGATCGCTTGGAATGTTTGTATGATGAAATAAATGGGTGGGAACTCTGCGAAACGAGAACACAAGATGCGGACGTATTTCCAATGTAGCTCGAAGAAGATATATAGTGAAACACTAATATAATCAGTGGATTTTTCTGAGGGCGCTGACCAAATCTCTTGAATATCTGGGGGAAGATAGAGGAAAGAGGAAGAGAAGAGAAAAAAAGTATGATGTTGGCTGGGAAATCTACGGTGAGTTGCCGACTAGCGAGGTTGCCCACGACGAAAGTTTTTTCGCCCGCGACTTGCCTAGTATTTATTATTATGGGTTAACGGTGGTTTCGGCTGCCCACCCCACCATCCACCGAGTTGTTGGTTGCATGTGCGCGTGAGATGCAATATTCATGTACGTCCGGTATCTTGTCGACATACTTCGGAAGGATTTACCCTGCTGGAAGGAGGAGAACAAAGCCTTTGAACGGCAAATTGGTAGTACATGCATGGTCATTGTCTCGCCATCATCGTCCTGATTGATCAACCTCGCATCTTGGCCCTGGACCAGTTTGCAAACTTGGGCCCCCCACCACTGACCAGATCCCCCAGTCTGGGGAGAGACACTCGGGATTCGGTTGGTTGCCTTGCTGATTCGGGGTCAACGGTACGATACCCACCCCGATCCTGCCCAGTTTTAGATCCATTTGTTCTCCGATCCGTTACGGGTCTCCCCTCCGAATTTGACTACTATTTACTACTTGCACTGCACAAGTCGTGATGTCCAGGCCATCTCGGCCCAAGTGAGCGATACAGCAGAACGGGACGAAGAGAGACAAAGTGAGCGCCTTTTCCAAGCACTACTAAGCACTCTGTACACTTAAAGGACGCTGACAAGTCGGAGGTCGTGGCCCTGTCTCACCTGCAATGCATCCTCATCGCTTACAGCATTGATCCTAGTTGTAAGCAATCTTGTGCATGGGTCAGCTTCCATCACTTTCGATTCAGAACGTCTTCATTCGTCAGGCCGTCTGGTGTTTTTCGTGCAGGATTGCCTACAGATTCTAGCCCCTTGCCATCCAGCGAATGCAGGTTAATCATTCGCCGAAACCGTTATCATGTCACTTTGTACAGAATGAGAACTTTGCAGCAGGAGTTTTGTATAGATATCAGACCGTCATTCTTCTGTTTGCCGACATCTTAATTGCACAAGGAGCTGGTGCCTCTGGGCGTCTCTACAGATTTATGCTCTGTCAAAACGCAATAAACACGGCAGACGCAGACGCATTGGCTTATAAGCGACCTGATCAGTAAGAAATACTTACAGGCTTGATGCACAATACGTACCTATTACCGTATTTTCCTATTGTGTGAAGCGCATTCATCAGATTCAAATTGTTCCATCCAACTAACTCTTGCATTCCCCTTGTGATGACTCCGGTCCATCAGCAGCATAGTATTTAGTAAGTTATACATGAAATGCATAAGTCAGCCTATAGTTCTTGAGCATATCCTCATCCGAAAACACGCCTATGTACGGTGTATTACGTGGAACTATTTTCGAGTATGATAATTGTGGGCAAACTCCATGGTTGAGAGGTTTCATGCTCCGGACTGGAACACTTATCAATCTGAACACCGAAATATCCTATGTTCAACTTTGTGCAAGACTGGACTATTAATCATGCATCAATACTGCAGCCTTGCGTGTAGATCGTCATTATAGCTATGCGATACAAAGACTCGTTCACTTGATATTCTTGAGATATATAATCAATGCCAAGATAAGCAATATGGCCGCGATTAAATTTGATTTCAATATTTCCTGCCAATAATATAAACTAGAATATACCTTTCTATCACCCCAACAGTTTTGCATGGAGATTTCCATGTATCTTACAGTGCTCTTCAGGTTCCGAGAAATCACACAGATGATCTGGGCAACAATGGGAGGCGACCTGTGTCCAAATTTATATTGGATACCATCAATGATAGAAACATTGAGAACCTATCGGTATTCCGGACTGGCGTCTAAACAAGTCGGTCTCCATTCACGTCGAATATGTCCCAGGGTTCTGAAGGACAGCCCCTGACAGTTTTGTTTCATTGTGTACATATTGAATTGTTGGGCGGAATAGCTTTGACAAACGAGCGCGTTTGCACAAACAATCACTATTGGCAATTACAAATATTTTCGTCTTGAGATATCAAATATCTGCGACATCCACGTCGCTGCCTCAACAAGACAAGGCGCGACAAGACTCATCAGACAACAACAAAGGCGAGGAAGCCGGATTGGCGCAGTGGTAGCGTTCTTGGTTTGGGCAATTACCAATTTCTCCTTCCAAGAGGTCCTGAGTTCGAACCTCAGATCCGGCCTATATTTTTGCTAGTGTCATTCGAAGCCGTACTCAAACTCTGGTAATGACTTGGTATTATCTATCTTTGATGGAACGACTACCCAAGCACGCATATGGCCCCGTGTGTTTCATTTTCCACATTTCGTTCTTGAAAGATGAAGAAGTCGTCGTTGCCCAGTATTCGTAAGAAGCGCAATGTTTAATGCTTTATCATTTGATACATATGCAACTGACTGTGTGGTTTCTACACACAGGTGAGGTACCTTTGGAAGGAGCAAGGAAGCCAATGAGTGTTGTACGACACGTAAAGCTGATTTATAACCGTGTCAATCGTGATCACAAAGACGTAATTGAGTGTCATTGATATAAAAAGCCGAGGAGGACATGGCCGTTTGTCCTGCTCGGCAACATTGGAATTGCACATGCACCAGCGGTGAAACGCAGAGAGTATAATCTGGACCCTAGAAACCTAAACCCCCAAGAACGTTAGCTGCCCCCAAACCGAGCCAATCAAAAGGTGCAAAATTGCCTGGCCCCTTGGCCTTGCCCAAACGCGGTAACCACGGCGGCGTGTCGAATGCTACGAAAACCGAGGCAATTCTGAAAGATATTTGGTTCTTCGTGCCTTCGAATTCCTCAATCTTTGCGAATTAAACTTATTCGTGAAGCATCGGAACTTATTCAATTCAATTGATCATCAGCATAACTACTGAGTATTGTACCGAAGACGCAAACCCAAGGGGTGGCATACGGCCGAAAAGAATTTCCAAGATGGGTTTTCTTAGCATGGTCCTGGCCTTTTTGCAGTCGCACTTTTTCCTCACGCTTCCCGTCCCTAAGCAGTCCTTTGCTGGACAGACAATCATCGTGACCGGTTCCAATACAGGTCTAGGACTCGAGGCGGCACGTCACCTCGTGCGCCTGGGTGCCGCCAAGGTCATCCTCGCGGTCCGCAGCATCGACAAGGGCAACGCCGCCAAAGCCTCGATCGAGGCCTCGACCGGCCGCGAGGGGGTCGTCGAGGTCTGGGAGCTAGATCTCGCGCACTATGCCTCGGTCAGGGCCTTTGCCGACAGGGTCAACGCCACGCTCGAGCGCCTCGACGTTGTGGTCGAGAACGCGGGCGTGTTGACGCAGCAGTGGGGCATGGCCGAGGACAATGAGATCACCATCACGGTCAATGTGGTCAGCACGTTCTTGCTGGCTCTGCTGTTGCTGCCGAAATTGAGAGAGACGTCGACCCGATTCGCCAAGGATGTCGTTTTGACATTTACCGGCAGCTTCGTCCACTGGATCACCTTGTTTCCAGAAAGGAAGGCAGGTCACATTTTCGAAGAGACTGCAAAGAAAGAAAAGGCAAGGCTCTGGGACAGGTACGGCCTCTTTATTCGTTCCGTGATCTTTTCTGAAATATCTACTAAGTCTGCTGCTACAGATACAATGTTTCAAAACTTATGGAGACATTCATCTTTCGTGAGCTCTCGGAGAAACTCTCAGCATCCTCAAAGCCTGGGAGTATCATCACTTCTATATGTAAGTAATTGAGTATACGAAGTAGATACAGGGCAGGGGAGTCGGTTTTGGCAAAAAACCAGACCTTTTGAGAATATTATGACACAAGCTAACATCAATGTCAAGTGAATCCCGGAGTCGTGGTTACGGACCTGAACCGCGAGGTCCAACAAGGCGTTTTTGGTATCCCTCGTCGTATCTTCATGCGTGTCATAGGTCGTACCCCCGAAGAAGGAAGCCGGACGCTAGTTCATGCAGCAGAAGGCGCACCAGAGACGAATGGACAGTATTTGGATGACTGCCGGATTGGAGAGTAAGTGCTTTTCATTACAGGTCATTTGAGAGATCGTTATACACCTTGAGTTCCTGCTAATCATCCAACAGATTTTCCACATTTGTGAATAGCAAGGAAGGCTCCGTAGTGCAAAAGAGGTTATGGAGCGAATTGGCTGAGAAATTAGAGACAATACAGCCTGGGATCACTCAGAATATCTAGTTCTGGAATTTGAACGTCTGATGTGGTCGTCGGATCGATAGCCACAATTGCACTATGATGAAAGGACCCGGACAGCAATTTTTTGAAATCCGGAGGTTCAGCCTAGGCGATCAAATAATTCCCATTCATGTGCCAAATAATACATAAATGATTACATAATATATAAATGGATCATCAATGTAGATATTGAGTAGCCAAAGACGAGAGAAAGTACGTAGTGATATTTTTCCAGAGAATTTACAGTACCAAGCACGTCTGGCACCACTCAGTATATTCCTGTCTTATTAGAGGTGAGGTGGAATGGATTTAGCACTAAGACGACTAGCGCGGCAGGGGTTAATCCGGCCTCTGCATCCATGTCCGAAATATTTCGAGCTTCAAATCGCAGCCGGAGTCTTTGGCATCAAATCCAGCGTGCGACCCGCGGCGGCGCCCTTTGCAAATCAATTCACTACCGCCCAAAAGCTCTTGTGGCAATACGTATCCATCGATCTTGCACATATTGACAACCTTTCCACGACTCGGAGACGTCTGCTACCAATTGAGATATAGAGGAAAGAAAACAGGTTCGCGCGCACGCGACGACAAAAGAGCCCAAACCGACACGATGGCTACACCGGCCAAAGCCGCCGTCGCCAACTTGTCGGCAAAGGCGCTCGCCCACGCCAGTAACACGGGACGACAGCTGACGGGCTCCAAGACCGCTGTGGTGGTGACCGCAGGCACCATGGACAAGACGGTCAAGGTGCGGTTATGGGGTCAGAGATGGGAAAAGAAGATTCAAAAGGTGAGAAGACGTCTCTTTTCTGCTTTTCTCTGCAGGATCCGCTTCCCAAGCATATCAATTGCTTAGGCTACTTGCCCTCCGTTGCCATTGGGAGTGCCGTGGATCATTGAGGAGAGGGGGAGCAGAGGCAAATACAATATATCCTGGGAAACAACCAGAAGCTAACCCATGGGACCATCTTTAGAGTTTTCAAGTACCCTCCTACCACCTGGTCCACGATCCAAACAACTCGGTGCGCCAGGGTGACGTGATCAACATCTCATCTGGCTGGCGCGCCTCGCAGCACGTACGGCACGTTGTCCGCCACATCATCGCGCCCTACGGCGAGCCCATTGAGGCCCGCCCGCCCGTCCTGAGCGAGCAGGAGCTCTACGAGAAGTACGCCGAGAAGCGTGAGGCCAAGCTGGAGAGGCGCGCCATTAGGGACGCTGAGATACAGAAGCAGAAGGATGCCGAGAGGGCCGCCCAGCTGGAGCGCAGAGCACGCCGCGAGGCATGGGAGCAAACCAGAGTGCAAGCCAAGGAGAAGAGACTAGAAGAGGTTCGGGGAACTCTTGGCGACGTAGACTAAACAGGAGAAACAAACAGCCATGCGAACCGAGTGAGACGAACTCAGTGTGGTATTATGAACACCAAGTTCGCAGCCTGTCGGAGGAAAGCAGCACGGGCTGCTCAGTCAGCATTTGTGTGATCATGTATATATCAATTACTCTGTACTATACTGTACAATGGCGAAGGAACATTCAAAATAAAACAGATATCATCGTATGCATGAATGTGCTACCATGCCGCAAATATCAAAGTCGGTCTCTCGTGTCATCGTGTCAGAGAAAAAAGTAATCATGTAGGAGAGCTGTAATTTTGAAGGGCTGATAATATTGACGTCACCTCCGTATATCGTGGTATAGCTAAGTCATTACGACGAGTGTACGAATAGTAGGTATTTCATTTTAATCTCAACTCCAGGATGCGTCTTAACCACCCCGCTCGCCAAACTGCTTGGCCCAATCCTCGTACTCCTTCAGACCTTCCTTGCTCACACTGGGGCGAATTGTACCAAGACTAGCCTTGAAGTCAATGAGCTCTATCGGCCGTATTTGGTCCATGGTCATGTGCAGCAGCGCTTCGCCCAAAGACCGAAGCGGACCCATGGCAGCGTCCTTGGCCAGTGCTGTGATGTCGGAGCCAGAGAAGCCATCGGTCAAGGCAACCAACTCAGCCATGTCGTCCGCGGTCAGACTATGATTTTGCTGACCAAGTAGCGTTTTTAGTTGAGTTGCTCTCGTCTCGGGCTCTGGCAAGGGTATGTATTGTCGCCGGACAAATCTACGTCTCGCTGCCTCGTCGATGGCCCAAGGCAAGTTTGTTGCCGCAAGTACCAAGACTCGATTAGCATCTCCAGGCATGTCCTTGCTCCCCCCTGGACTTTCCCGGCCTGCTGCTGCCCGCTGTAGGTCGCTCCACTGTATGAGGAATTCCGTCTTGATCCTTCGGGTTGCTTCATGCTCTCCTGAACCAGAGCGCTGCGAGAGTAACGAGTCGATCTCATCGACAAAAATGATACTCGGCGCCATGGCCTTGGCTAGAGAAAATAGAGCTCGGACAAGCTTTTCCGACTCGCCCAGATACTTGCTTGTCAAACTACTAGCGGAAATAGAAAAGAAGGTTGATTTGGATTCGGTTGCCACGGCCCTGGCGAGCATCGTCTTGCCCGTTCCCGGCGGTCCAAACAAAAGCATGCCCCTGGCTGGCTCACGGAGACCCATGAAAAGATCAGGCCGCAAAAACGGGTACACAACGGCCTCACGTAGAGCATTTTTGGCGACTTCTAGCCCGGCCACATCGCTCCAATGGACCTCGTCACCCTGTACCACGATCTCGTTGAATATGGCTTTGGCAGCAGCACTATCGACGCCCGGAGGCAATTTCTTAAGAATGGCCCGCTTCTTCTTCTCCCACGCACTTTTCGATTTCTTTACCTCCTTGTCGTCATCCGAATCGCCCGATTGAGCCGGCAAGTCCGCAGGAACATGGTCTTCCTCCTGCTTTTTCTTCCTGGTTCGACGCACGGGTTGACTTGCGGGCGCTTCATCCGATGACCCCGAAGAGTTGAGCGGGCTAGCCTCTCGCACTCCACGAGCCGCACGGGTGGTACGTTTTGCGGCACTGTTGGGTGGTGTGCCGTGGCTAACTGGTTTCCTTCTTCCGGGCAAGTCGCTTGAGC